GCAGACATAGTAAACAATCTTATGGTTAGTAGGGAAAGGTGGTGAGAAGGGATAAATCTGGGAGTTTGAGATTTACAAATGTTAGACAATATATATAAAAACAGATTAAAAAAGTTTCTTCTGGATAGCACAGGGAATCATGTTCAACATATGGTAATAACCTTGAATGAAAAAAAAACAGGAAAACAAATATATGTATGTATATGCATGACTGGGACATTGTGCTGTACACCAGAAACTGACACATTGTAATTGACTGTACTTCAATGTAAAAAAGAAAAAAGAAAAAGAAATAAAAGGGATCCAAATTGGAAAATGAGGTAAAACTGTCACTATATGCAGATGACATGATACTGTATACAGAAAACCCTAGAAGCTCCACACAAAAACTACTAGAGCTGATAAAAGAGTTTGGCAAGGTAGCAGGATACAAGATTAACATACAAAAATCAGTTGCATTTTCTTTACACTAACTGAATTAGCAGGGAAAGAAAATACAGAAACAATCCCTTTTAAAATTGCATCCCAAACAATAAAATACTTAGGAAGAAATCTGACCGAGGTGAAAGACTTACACATGGAGAACTACAAAACACTGATTAAGGAAATCAAAGATGACGTAAAGAAATGGAAAGATATCCCATGCTCTTGCACTGGAAGAATCAAATTACCGTTAAAATGGCCACAGTGCCCAAGGCAATCTACAGATTTAATGCGATCCCTATCAAATTACCAGAACATTTTTCACAGAACCAGAACAAACAATCCTAAAATTTATATGGAATCACAAAAGACTCAGAATTGCCAAAGCAATACTGAAGAAAAAGAACGAAGCTAGAGGAATAACCTTCCCAGACTTCAGACAATACTACACAAATAGAGTGATCGAAACAGCAGGGTACTGGCATAAAAACAGACATATGGACCAATGGAATAGAACAGAGAGCCCAAAATTAAATCCACAGACCTATGGTCACTTAATCAAAGGAGGCAACAATATACAATGGAGAAAAGACAGTCTCTTCAACAAGTGGTGTTGGGAAAACTGGATCACAGCATGTAAATCAATGAACGGGGAACACACCCTCACTCCATACACAAAAATAAATTCAATATGGCTTAAAGACTTAAATAGAAGGCAAGACATGATAAATCTCCTAGAAGAAAACATAGGCAAAACATTCTCTGACATAAATCGTAGCAATGCTCTCCTAGAGCACTCTACCCAGGCAATGAGGCAACAGAAATAAAGGCAAAAATTAACCAATGGGACCTAATGAAACTTATGAGCTTTTTGCACAGCAAAGGAAACCATAAGCAAAACAACAACATAAGGAATGTCACAAAATACCTGCAAATGATGAGACTGACAAAGGCTTCATTTCCAGAACCTATAAACAGCTCATACAACTTAACAACAACCACCACCACCACCACCACCCCAAACAACCCAATCCAAAAAATGGGCAGAGGACCTAAACAAGCAATTCTCCAGTGAAGACATACAAACGGCCAAGAGGCACATGAAAAAATGCTCAATATCACTAATTATCAGAGAAACTAAATTAAAACAACAATCTGATATCACTTCACACCACTCAATGGCCATCATTCAAAAATCCATGAACTCAAAAAACTAAAAATTCACTTACCATATGATCCAGCAATTCCACTCCTGGGCATATGTCCAGAAGGAACCTTGATTCAAAAACACACCTGCACCCCAATGTTCATAGCAGCACTATTTACAATAGCCAAGATATGGAAACAACCTCGATGCCCATCAACAGATGACTGAATAAAGAAGTTCTGGTATGTATGTATGGTATATGTGTACACACACACACACACACACACACACACACAATGGAATACTGCTTAGTCACAAAAAAGAATAAAATAACTTCATTTGCAGCAACCTGATGTCCCTGGAGAATGTCATTCTAAGTGAAGTAAGCCAGAAAGAGAAAGAAAAATACTATATGAGGTCATTCATATGTGGAATCTAAAAAAAAAAGAAAAAGAAAAAGACAAATGAACATAAATACAAAACAAAAACAGATTCATAGACATGGAATACAAACTTGTGGTTGCCTGGGGAAGGGGGGTGGGAAGGGATGCACTGGGAGTTCAAAATTTGTAGATACTGACAGGTATATGTAGAATAGGTAAACAAGATTATACTGTATAGCACAGGGAAATATATACAAGATCTTGTAGTAGCTCATGGTGAAAAAGAATGTGACAATGAATATATCTATGTTCATGTATAACTGAAAATTGTGCTCTACACTGGAAATTGACACAATATTGTAAGCTAATTATAACTCAATAAAATAAAATTTAAAAAAGAAAAAAGAAGTTGTGGTATAGATATACAATGGAATACTACTCAGCCATAAAAAAGAATAAATAATGCCATTTGCAGCAACATGGATGGCCCTGGTGAATGTCATTCTAAGTGAAGTAAGCCAGAAAGAGAAAGAAAAATTGCATACAATATCCCTCATAGCTAGAATCTAAAAAGACAAATGAACTTATATATAAAACAGAAATAGACTCAAAATACAGACTTGTGGTTGCCAGAGGGGAGGGAGGTGGGAAGGCATACACTGGGAGTTCGAGACTTGAATATACTGACTAGCATACATAAAATAGATAGACAGGTTCATACTATATAGCACAGGGTAATGTTTTCAGTATCTTGTAGTAGCTGATGGTGAAATAGAATGGGAGAATGAATATGTGTATGTTTGTGTGTGGCTGAGGAATTGTGCTGTACACCAGGAGGTGACACAGCATTGTAAACTGACTATAAATCAAATTAAAAAAAAAAGGGGGGAAAAAAAAAGTTTCCTCTGTATAGCGCAAGGAATCATGTTCAATATCCGGTAATAAATGAAAAAATTGAGAAAGATGAAAAAAAAGGAAAAGAAATATATGTATGTATATGCATGACCGGGACATTGGGCTGTACACCAGAAATGGACACATAACTGACTGTATTTCAATAAAAAAAAAAAAAAAAGGAAAACTATACTGAGAAGCCTGGGCGGGGGGACTGTAGAAATGCAGAAGAAAGCAACCTCATAAAGATGTTAACTCTATCTAACCAATATATAAATTTTATGAGCTCACCAAATTCCCAACATAATTTTGCGTAACTTGACAAAAAGATTCTAAGCCCTTTTGAGAAATATTCATGTGAGAATAACTATGGAAAAGTTGGAAAAAAAAAGTGATTTTCAGGAATTAGTCTTATCATATAGTAAAATATATAATAGATACAATACTTCAAATATTGTGGGCCTGGCAGAAGAAGATGGGTGATGGCAGAGAACAGGACATTCTGAACAGATCTAAAATACACGAAAGAATTCAGCACAAGAGTGTTCTGAAACAATAGAAAAACATATAGAGAAAAAGTATGAGCCTTCCCTTACATATCATGCACTTAAATAAATATGATATAAAGATTTAAGCAACAACCAGAACCATGTAAATACCAGAGGGAGAACTGCTCACACCTTATTTGGGTGACAAAGTTTCTTAACTGCATATAAAAAGGCAGATACAATAAAAGGAAAGATGAGATGGATCTGATTTATAAACACTGAAATATATATATGAAAAATCTGAAAGTTTGCATTAAAAATACAATAAACAAAAACAATTGTTTGAGAAAAATACTTAAATCATGTGAGACAAAGGACAAATCATGTGAGTCATTAATGTATGACTGAGTCTTAC